GCGATTGATTGTTTAGCAGCTATGTACTTGCTAGTCCAATTGGTGTAAAAACCCTGAACTGCAGATAACGTTAAAACAGATGTGCAGATGTAGTGATGTTTATGTAGGATAGGAAACGTTTCACCTATAAAGCACTGGTCGAAAGAGCAATACCTTTTTTACAAGGAATCAACAGGGCGACCAAATGCAAAGACCATAATGAACTCTTTTTAGAAATAACTACTGGGAGTATTGGTCAATATTTTGCATTTCAATTTTTAAAATATTTTGCATTCATATTATTCCCAGAACCCTATACGAATATAGTGACAAAAACATATAAACTATCACAGTTACTAACAAGTAAATACACTAAACAGTTTGTGTGCTCTTGATATTACCAATTTCAGGTGTGCAATATGGGCATTACATTTTCGTTTTTTAGAATTTGGGGGAATGTAGACAGCATAGATTCCTTCTTCCACGGACATTCCTTGTAACCTCACGGTGCGTACCATCCCTTCCCAGGATCTGAGAACAACATTGTGTACAATGTATATATTGTTCTCAGCCCAGCATCAGAACTCACTCATGCTCTCGCTCAATTCACCACTGCCACAAGTAGATTTCCGTTACAATTTGTAACGATTTTTTACTACAAGTTTTACAGCAGCCACGTTACTCCGTTTTACTCGTATCTTATGTGATAAGATTTGGACTAATAAAAGTTGCAAAGATATTAAAAATCCGACCGTTATTTCATGAAAAATTTGATAAAATTGTGATACGAAATTGTACGCGGATTGTGCGCCCAGTTATATCTTTCAAATCCTACGCTGTTTACGAATCTCCATTCGCCAGATTTCCCCGGAGCTCCGCCTACTTTAAAAATAGTGCTAGCATTGTGGCATAGTGGCAGTGGTATCCTGAGTGTACGAATGGGCACTGCATGCAGTTTGACGTGAACTATGTGATATCGTTCGACCGTTACTGTAAAGTTATGTATGCCAATCGTTGGTGAAATAAATGGAATATCGTTATGTGAAAAGTTAAGACAATGGTGATTTTTGCCTAACTATAGTATGCGTTTCGCTTGTGCTTTTTCCGTTGTGCTTCTCTCCTAGTTTTAAACGTGTTCTTAAAATACCTGTTTATATATATATATATGCATTACTTACCATACAATATAATTAACGCATTATTAATAACAATATACACATGCTTTCATGAAAATATATATTCTCTAATAAACTCCCAGCTAGGAGATAAACCTCAAAAGTCTATATACACCAACCGATCTTACGATACGTCCCCCTTCACGCACAGCTCTTGCAATGTGACCTACTCACTCACGCACGCACGCGCGCACACACACATATACTTCTACTTCTATACTGGACAGTCAGTCCGTAAGGAATAAACGTCCAGGGAGTGCGCGAAAACTCCTGGTGCACGTGAGAGATTTTCATGGAATATTTTTTAAATGTAGGCATTAATGTGTTCCAGAGAACGAGGCTTCTCTGGGCCAGGCACTCATTACTGAGTGCGACTAGCATACGGCAATAGACTGTTGCGAGCTGTTGTAGTTGCCCAGCCGTAGGTGCGTTTCACTTCCTCGAGGTGGCATAACAACGATGCTGCCTGACTCAATGTTTTGCCAGACGGACCCAGTGAATTGCTGTGCTGTTGGACTAGTGAGTAGTGACTCCGGTAGCAGATTCCAGCTTCTGATTGTTCTAGGAAAGAAGCTGAACCTGTACCCATCTGTCCGGGTTCTGATGTTGTTGTATGTAAGCCGGTGTGTGCCGCGGCATATGCTGGTGCTTTTGGTGAGGAAGGATGGAATGTCGACTGCTGCCTGTCCGTTGATTATTTTCCAGAATATGGCCTGTTGGTTGACAAACCTGCGTTCCTGCAAGGAGGGCCATTGTAGGTCTGCGAACATTTGTGTAACACTCTCAGTTTGCTGGTAATTTCCCGTTACGAAGCGCGCTGCTCGTCTCTGCTTTCTCCAGGGAGGAGATATCCTTCTGTGTGTGTGGATCCCAGACACTACCTGCATACTCGAGGCTTGGCCTCACGTATGCTTTGTATGCCATCTCTTTGACAGGTTTTGGGCATCTCACAAGGTTCCTGCGGATGAAATTTAGGGCCCGGGTTGCCTTTCCTTTCGACCGGCTGATGTGGGTAGACCAAGAGAGGTCATCAGTGAGCTCCACGCCGAGGTAGAGTTGATGTTCCTCCTTTTTGAGCTTGGTTCCCATTGTAAAGTGTGGTTTGCACAGTTATGCACAGGTGCATAGTTGAATACTATAGAAGGCTGGCGACGCGGTAATGGCAAGCACAGATGATGTTATTATATATTATATTATTGATAGACTCCTGATGTTATTTTGGAAAAAATGTGACGCTGAATACGACAGAGTATATTTAGTTAGGAAGATGTTGTTATGACATATATATAATAGGCATGTTAATACAGTAAATGAGTGAACAGTGTTTGTTATTGCTACATATCGATAGCATAGATATGCGTCGCATGACACGCGTGTGGAATCTGCGGTTTAGGATGCAGAGATGTTGTAAGCTGGAGCATGATGTTGAGTAAGCATATATCATATATATATATATATATATAGTATATATATATATATATATATATTATATCAATACATATATAAAGGCGGGTTGTTTTAAACAGATCTCGAGGAGAGGGGTATTACTGAGTAACCTGGGGTTTTGTTGTATTGTGATGAATCACAACATAACATCTGAAGCATAGTGGTCATTAGTGAATATTTCGTTGGGGATGGATCGCAGAGCATACGTAAACTCCTTGGGGATTCTTTTTCTTTTGCGAGTGATGGTTATAGTTATGGTATCACTTTTATTCCATTGTTATGTTATTTCGTATTTTTGTATTCAAAGTGTTGGTGTTTGGGGTATTGCAAGGGGTAGTGGTATTGTTCGTTGTTAGTTTGTTTTCTCGTATATTAAACAATGAACCGCCGTTTTAGGATCAATGGTGGTTGAGCTTGGCAAAGTCGGGCACGCATGTGGGATTTATATCAGAGTGGTTCATGGGATGATTTCAAAGGGCTGTGTAATTCGATGATCTGCTGGTATCTGTGTATCGATGTTGTTAATATAGTGGTCTCAATGGATTTTTGCTTCAAACTGAATTTTGTATATAAGTTGTATTGGTGTCGTGAAAGAGATATGGTGTAATTAGTATAGTAAGGGTGACAGCAATTTTGGGTAAGTTGGATTGTCTAATCGCCAGGTACTGAGAGACAGTGTATATATATAATATATGTTGTGTGGTGTGTGTGTGTGTGTGTGTGTGTGTGTGTTGGCGGTGCGTGTGCGTGCGTGCGTGCGTGCGTGCGTGCGTGCGTGTGTGTGTGTGTGTATGTAGGATGTAAGTGTGCATGGGTGTGAACGTAGGGTGGCTTAGGATTAGGGTTTGTTTTAGATTAGTGAGGACGCTAAAGTCGATGGCTTATAGAAGCCATTCGAACAGAGATTCTTGGAGGAAAGGAAGGTAAATATAACGTGTGGTTTGCAGATGGTAGAAATAGTAGTTGTGTTTAGAAATGTAGCGACGGTGGTTGCATAATGCGTTAGGCGGCGGCAGCGCGTCTGATGTACGTAGTATGGATGATGGAGATGCGAAACGGTTGAGAGGGAAGTGTTGTGCATGTGGGCAGCGGATGTGGTTGTCCGGGCGCGCACGACTTTCTTTGTTAGCTAGAAATGTATAAAAGAAAGGTTCTTGGTTGTGAGGAGGTCGGACGTGAGTGTGCAAGGCACGCGGCTGCGTGCCTCTTTTCGCGCGCATGTGGGTTGAGAAACAATAATACTATTTGCGGAACACAACTGCTTGGACTTTAGAATTTTTCTTATTCATCGCTTCAACAAATCTACTTTGAACCGGGTAACGTCATCGTCCTCGTTACACCATGATGATATAGGTCTGCTTTATTGGGGTTTGTTTCCTTGATATTGTGAGGCTGGTGCACTTTTTTGGATTGAAAGACATTTGCCAGTTTTTGGACTAGCTTATCAATGTTCTTTTGAAGAAGCTCTGTATCAGATCCGCTTAATCTGATGGGTTTGTAGGTGAGACAATCATCTGCAAACAGTCGGAGTGTTGAGTCGATGTCATTACATATGTCGTTTATGAAAACGAAGAACAGGAGCTAGGGGGCCGAGGACTGTTCCCTGGGGGACTCCTGACTTTACCGGTACTTTTCTTGATTTATTACCATCTAACACTACAGTTTGGTGACTTTTGGTCAGCAATTTACGTATCCATATCAAATTAGTCTTCCCTCTTGTTCCATAGTAGTTTAGCTTATGAAGCAGTTTATTGTGGGGGACTGTGTAGAAAGCCTTTGCGAAGTCTAAGATCACTACGTCTACTTATTCTTTGTTATCCAGCCTGTAACTAAGGTCGTTGACAGTGGAAAGCAGCTGAGTCTCACAGCTGTGAGACTTCCTGAAACCATGCTGGCAGTTTTCAAGTATATTGTTATGGTCAAAGTGGTCCATCATACCTTGTATAATGGATACCAATAATACGTACCTTGATATATATATATATATATATATCAAGAGCTAATAATACGTACCTTGATATATATATATATATATATATATATATATATATAATATCAGGAGTTGATAGATATATTATACGCGCACACTCACACAACCCCCTTTCATCTACAAAAAAATAATCCTCTTAATTGTTTATTATCAGCTATGATGTGTTCAACCTCTATTTAGAATTGGTGTTTCCAACCTTCGTTATTATACACGTTCTCCGGAGTGTTATTATGATGAAGATGCTAGCAAAACAAAAATGTGATGGTGATGATGCTGATGCTAACGTTATCGGATGCGGAGGCTGAACCGACTGTAGACGGCCCCATGACCATTCACTCCAGAAATTATATTCTAAAGACAGGGAGAACTGAACCAGTCTAAAATTGTTCGCGAGCACGCGCTCTATTGATATGGTGTTCACTTGTTAACTCAAACTGGAACAGTAGAGAGTCGTTGGATTTCTGCACATCATCTCTTGAGGTGCTTATAATTTATATTATAGGTAGCATTACATTAAAAATAATTATTACATTCTAGACTGAACCAGAAGCTAGCTCGATATTTAGGCTGTTGCTCAGTCTGTGGGTTATAAGCCCATATATATATCGATGATAGCCTGGGCTGTAGGCTGTTCGTTGTTCTTGTTGCCTGTTGGTTGCCAGGTTGCATTGCCAACTGCAAGTTCAACGCCGATCGGATCATGCGATTTTTAATTCATAATAATTTTTAATATAATGTATAATTTGTCATTGCGACGACATTCTTTTTGACATTACTAAAACAGTACCGTTTTTTAATTTCGACAATGTAATCTTGCTCATACGTGATGTATACACCATGTACGAAATGGCTCAATAAATTGGCTCGTTGCCAAATGTGTCTTCCGTTACATATCGCATGATACATGAACGCATGTAGCATAGTTTTATTTTATAAATAGAGTCAGGCAACCCATTTACATTTTCACAATTCAATATTTTTCAATATAGGTCAAAAGATAACTAGAAGTTAGAACATCCTATCTTAGCTCTAGTACGCCGCAGGCGTGCGGCAGTTAATGAAAGTGGGCTATATAGCCTAATCCTAGCTGTGCCATTGCAGTGGAAGCTAATGTTTGATAAAATATCTGCTCGTTGATAGCTATAAAAAATATTTCGTACATAGAGGAGATAAGTACATGCTAGCTAGAGCTACCCGATTGATCCAATCCTGCGGTGGACATTGGAAAAGTAATTGAGTGTGGGTCTATTTGGCCAAAGGTCTCTTTTTGTCACCTGAGAGTTGAGGTGTAAGCAGCAAGTTTTACTTTGCTATCACATCAGGCAGCACAACCAGCAGCATTGCTTGGGCTCATAGCAGGAGTAAGGTTATGTGTTTATTAAAGGCAGAATTCACACACACACATATATATATATATATATATATATATATATATATATATATATATATATATATATGTATGTGTGTGTGTGTGTGTGTGTAGTGGCTGTAGTATATAGGCTCTTATTTATTAGGTTTTATTAATAATTAATATAGTTAAATATTATTATACCAGGGTGCAAAATTAACGGGAGTCCGGAGTCAAATGCTCCCTGATTTACTGCCGGACTCCCTGATTTGACATATATGCGGGAGTCCGTGTGACTCCCTGAAAATTCTGCCATAATAACTAGTTAGTTCCAGAGCACGGCCTCACGGAATTACCGTATTTTTTCAGCAAATGTCCCAAGAAAATTTCGCAGACGTGCAACTGCATGAATCTTCAAAATAAGCCCATGCGTTATTGTTAATATTTTTAATTTTGAACTTCAGACTGCGGACTCCCTCATTTTGCCGCGGACTCTCTCTTTTTGAGGGCAACGGACTCCCTTGTTCAAATGTTAATTTCTACCCCTGTTATACTAATGGTTTTGATGAAATATGTACATAGCATTTTAAATTTAAATTAAAAAGTCAGTTGTTAGTAGATTTAAAACACAGATTCTCATACATAAGGGTCAGTAACATTCTGAAGTAGAACTTTCATACATTTGCATATCTATAATATGACCTCCAATTTGAGTACCAGACACTCAAATGGGGTTTGTTGGTCTATTTCCTTAATTTCAGGTTATATTTTTTGCAGGTTTATAGGTTGGATTCAGTACTGAATATTCGATTTAGCCATCTGTTAACTAATGGGAGAGGGTAGGCCGATTTGGATTACTGCTGTTCTGGGTGTAGTGAGGGTGTGCCTTTATGGATATGAAGCTATCACATGGATTGTATGGAAGCTTACTGTGAACCCACGGCAACGCAGGGCAATATCAAACCGCATAAAGGTGAGCGAATAAACCGGCACGGTCGATGTATGTCAAGGCTGTGGACATTTTACTTTATGGTCTAATGACGTCATGTATACACTGAAGATGGCCTAATTATAAGGTTTTCAAAAGTGTGCATTTGTATAACAGGTATGCACTATTTTACAATAATCGATGGTGAAAACGGCTGAAATGTTGAAACTGACATTTCAACACAGTTGTGCGCAATGTTCAGAGATGTTTAAAAGGTGTGAAATTCCTGATATTCTTGTGGTCGGCACCGGAAAGATTTTTAAAATCACTAACAAGAGGAATGCAGCTACAGTCCCCCACACCATTTGGCATTTACAACTAGCCCAGTGTGCATTGATCACTTCAGATTCAAGTAAATCAGTCCCCGAGAATTTCAGCTGATGGAAACTTACAATTTTCTACATCTGCTTTCATTCAGCTTCTCTTTCATAGAATCTTTTCTTCCTGGTATTGAAAATAACACAAATTCTTACGTGGAAATATATTTAATATGGGAATTTAATGCACCTGATGTGCAGGGCTGGCACAATATTTGCTGTCACACAATTTGATAGTATTGTATTCACTAGTGTAATACTGATAGTGCATTTGTACATGCTCTGATATTGATTTTATTCTTATATATCCAACCCTACCTAGTATACTTTGTGGTTTTATCAAAGGTTTACAAAACTGTAATTTGTACATGCTCGGATATAGATTTTATTATTATATATATCCAGCCCTACCTAGTTTACTTTGTGGTTTAATCAAACGTTTACAGAACTGTAATTTGGCACCTGCACCCCCACCCCCACCCCCATGAATCTGGCAATTTTGAACGGTACATAATGCATTTGTAATTTAGGTATGCTGACGAGACCTTTGTGGTGCTTGCCTGTATCTGTGAGCAGTGCAATACTGTGAGCCATATATATGTTCTCTCTTCTAAGCTACTGACAATTTTCTTTGCACTATTTACCTGCATTGCAAGGGAACTCGCGGTTGTTTGTTATGACAGGCGGTGCCTACCAGCGATGAGCCTGGTGCACCGTGGCGAGATGTGGACTATCCCGAGCTCACCACGACTCTGTTTCCCGAGTGTCAGACACTGGACGAGCTGTTCATGCGAACGGTGAGCCTTCACGGCCCGCAGCCTTGCCTCGGAACAAGGGAGATCTTCTCGGAGGAAGATGAAGTCCAGCCGAACGGCAAAGTCTTCAAGAAGGTCTGTCGATGAGTGGAGAGATATGGCATAAAAATGAGCGGTGGTGTTCTGTTGAGATTAATTTATTGTAGAAAATTAAAGTCATTTTTTCGGAAAAAATGTGATGCAACTTTGTCTTGACAGTCATTATTTGTCAAAACTGAGAGACAGTGGCATAGAGAAGTATATCAGTGTTCACGTACAGAGCGCGTGACTTTTGCTATTATAACAATTTAAAATTTAGATAAAGGGAATGCGATTGGTGGTATCTAAGTACACTAATGCTATTAAAAAATGCAATTGTAGGTATCATAGCAGTCATTACTTAATTCCACGATAGCCGATTAATTTTGTTTGCTTTGCGGATGTTTGATATGTTGATAAGATTAGCAGTGCAGTTCGAATAGTACTGGTAAACATTAGGGCATGCACATGCACACACACACACACGCACACACGCACACATCCTTGTGTTCCGACAAGACTGCCTGGATATGGATGCAATTTAATTGGAATATATATATACTATATATATATATATATATATATATATATATATTATATAACATATATTATGCTGTGTAATGCTGTGAGCACATTGATGTTAATTTTATGGACAAAGTTGTGAGGGTCCTTTATGTGCAATGATTTGGAACTAACTATATTGAACTCGCATTCAGATGAGTAAAGATATTCCTGACTACAATGTACTGTTGTAGCCTACACAGTCTGTCCGTACTTTGGTCTTTGTTGCTATTGTAACCTGGATTTCTGCAGATGATACTAGTGCAAAAACAAATTAAAAACAAACCCACTGACCGACTGATACTCGGGAACATCACATGTTGACTTGAGCCTCTTGCTAGCAACGAGGAATATTACCGTACACAACAAAATACAAGAATAACATACGTGCATGGCTACGTGTAAGCTTAGTAGATACTTATCTATTACTAACTGCTATACCAGAATGCTACAGCACTTGCCCCTCATAATCTGCTCGTTCGATTTAATTTGATTTTATATAATTGCTATTTGCAGTTGGTACTCGGTAATTACAAATGGGAGAGCTTTGATCAAGTGCAAGACAGAGCATGTAACTTTGGTAGTGGCCTGCAAGCTCTTGGACAGCAGGCTAAGGCAAAGATCGTTATATTCTCGGAGACACGCGCGGAGTGGATGGTCGCAGCACAGGGATGCTTCATCTACAATTTCCCAGGTTTCTATTCGTATTGCGTTCCTCGTTATCTTCTAAGCTTCGTTATTATAAGGCTTCTTCTATTTAACACGTTCAACGCTGCCGGTGTTAACAATGCACCTACCGCCCTGCGCTGGGATTTTCGCGTTTTTACCGCGTATTCACTTATTGATTTACCACGTTTCCTTTGCAGGAAAGCTAACCAAACTGACACATTTACTCTGCATGAGTGTTATCTCACCCTTACACGTTCAAATAGTATGGAAATCGTTTCCCTTCATAATAATATATTGTCATGAAAACAGGGGAAAAACGGATATTTCGTGCATTTTTGTCTCAAATGCCACTGCACCGGTGGATTTTCGCGAGTTTGTTATGATATCATTTGACAGTATACTATTTTTTCCGGTAAGAAATGTGACAACACTTACACATGTGTTGGGTATGAATCTTGTTTTGTGTTTCTACATGCAAAAATACTTCGAAATTTTACATACTACACAGTTATTATATTATATCTCGTTAGGAAAACGGTAAACAAACCTTGTTGAACGGACTTTAGCCCCGAATTTTATTTACATTGAGTCTCAAAACTCCTAATTTCATGTTCGAATCAACGGTAAAACATTGTATTATGGTAATGTAGACTGTCCCTGTTTAATTTCTAGGTAGGTAGTGCCTGCCATCTGTTGAAAATCAGAGTAACAAAAACGAACAATCTATCCCACGAGCTGACTCGTGGATCTGCGGGGATGCGTTTTGATTGTTCCCACGAGCTGACTCGTGGATCCGCGGGGAACGTGTTAAAAGAAGTTTCCTTACACAGTGCATCCTTCATGAATGTAGCTTGTTCTCATCCCCATATCAAGCGCTCTCTGTAGCCAAGCAGCCTCTGCTTATTATGACTTCTTTAGTGAAACCTCTCAGGTTTATTCCCCTATGCTGTAATTGTTTATGATGAAACACAGCTGCCCCCTATTAGACATGTATTGGCAGAGACGTTACGTGAATGACCACGTCGTTCATGGCAATAAAATTAATAATGCTAGAAAGTTGCAGCTATAATTTTAAAGAGTAAATTAAGCACAGAAGTGAACAAGCAAGGGAATTTTTCTGCGAATTCACCGATTTTTTTCGGATTTGACAGTCTTCTGTGTCCACCCTATAGAATATGTGAATTTGATGAAAAATATTTTGGTGGTGGTGATACTTGGCTTCATTAATTCAGGATAGAGAATGCTACTTCTGACCTTCATCCCAATTGTAAATGTCATCGCTTTTGCCATTTAAATAAACTATTCGGTACCCCTAAACAATTAGAATATCAAATTCTAAAACATTGATCCTTGACTTGCCTTGACTTGACTTGTCCCTAAAATATTTTTTTGGCGTTTTTTAACGATGAACTGATGTGCTTTTGGAAGTGGTGAAGTGTCTTGAAATGGTGCCAAATGCATCTTGGAGTGTCTATAGACCCTTACTGCTTCTGGGGCCTGTCCAGGCCACGTCCTCCTACCTCCACCCACCTAGAGAGAGATGACTCACTGCACTTGGCCAGTTCCTCAAAAAATTCGATTCCAAATTCCTTCGTCTGAATGTATGATACAGGATAGCATGTCAAGGCTTCCTCTGGATGTTTTAAAAAGTTTGAGCCAAGACTTGAGCCACCAAAGTTATTTTTTAGCCACCAATGAAAAACTATAGCCACTGTTTACTCTATCGTATGTGCTAAGCAAAGCATAAACAGGTGATGGTATGGGAACGTAAAATGAGGTACGAAAAAGTTTTACAACACGACGTTGTAATTATGTGAGCAGTTAAATCATTTGCCAGTTAGTGTAGTAAATTCGCCAGTTATTTATTTATTACATTTGATGAAGATTGTGAATGCCAGCGGTAGCCCTGGTATGTCAAGGTTTATAATAACAGTGGTAGCAATTATTGAATAATCCTGGTGCATGTATCTTGCTTGATAATCTAATTTGCTGTGCTATATTTTTCGACCGTCGTAAAAGACATTTATGATAATCTTTGCTGTGCTATATTTTTCGACCGTCGTAAAAGACATTTATGGGTGTGTAAATAGTATGTCTGTATTGAGCTGTATTGAGTCGAAGCAGAAGTCTCTACTATATAGCAAGAACTAAGAGAATATTTTCAAGCCATCGTATATACTATATTATATACTTTTAGCACAACGTGAATAGTAAGAGGACCACATAGTGGCTTATTTCGCACGACATTTACAACAGTTTTACGACTTAATAACAGTGGTAGCGATTATTGAATAATCCTGGTGCATGTATCTTGCTTGATAATCTTTGCTGTGCTATATTTTTCGACCGTCGTAAAAGACATTTATGGGTGTGTAAATAGTATATGCCTGTATTGAGCTGTATTGAGTCGAAGCAGAAGTCTCTACTATATAGCAAGAACTGAGAGAATATTTTCAAGCCATTGTATATACTATATATACTTTTAGCACAACGTGAATAGTAACCTCATAACATAACGTAACAATAATTAATAACGTGCATAATGTAAATAATACATTAACGTAAGAGGACCACATAGTGGCGTATTTCGCACGACATTTACACACGCTTTCACTGTATATAGTACAGTAACTGGAGAGTGGAGAGTAGCTTAGCTGTATCATGACTATATAGATTACGGGGTGGGTTCATGTAGTATGCACATGTGTAGCTACTTAGGCCTGTGACTGCTGCTATATTTGTATGTGGGTGATGTTGATGGGAGATGCGGAGCAATGACATGCTGGGAAAATGCAGACGCCAGACAGTGAAAACAGCTTACTAGCATTTATCTGAAATGGATCCTATTTCAGGCTATCAGTTTAGTTGGACTAACCCAGTTGGTAAAGCTAACTCCCCCCCCATGGGACTATTACCCTTCCCCCAGTTCTAGGCTATTTAATAATACAGCCCAGGCAGGTTTTCTTTGCCTGAAAGATAGCTGATTGAAGATGCGTTTTATGAATTTGTTTTTGGCATGACTGTTTTGCACACGTCAAGGGAGTAAAAAGTCTGGACAGAGTCACACATGGTAAAGCGTCCTGCTGTGTTGAACTATACATGCGAGTTGAGACTCATGTAGAGTTATGTCATAGTATCCTCATGCAATAACCTCCCTCCGTCTGCATTTATTTGATTCTTGATTACGTTTTGGAATGATGTTATTCTAACACTTTGACACAAACTAAATAATGAAGTTCCAGGCTGTGGCATAAATAAGAGTGACCCCTCACCCCACCCCCACCCATTATTGCCACACAGACAACACACCTGCATCCACTGCACTGGCGCCCACAGGTCTTAAGAAAGTAGAAGTACAGAAGGATAAAATCCTCAGTGATAATAAAAAGCAAGCGCCGTAAGCACCCTGCATGCTAGGGGGGTCTGGGGGCATGCCCCCCTCAAAATTTTTGAATGGTAGACGTCTGGAGATGCAATCTGGTGAGTCTTGCGAGAGAGATCTAGGAACAAAATGTAGGAACAAAATTGTTTAACCCAAAATTTACTGGAAGCACTGTGCTTCCAGTGCTTCTATCTGCGGGCGCCACTGCCTGCATCACCCGATGTGTGTGACCATTCTTTCATTCTTTCACATTCTTTCACTTTTGCACTCTCACTCATTACATACACGTCGTTGCAGCGATATTTGTCGAGTCGCGTCGGTTGTCGGCTTGAGCCTAGCGCAGACCAGCGATTTTTGGTTGCTCATCGCTGCAACCTGCAACCGCAAGCGATTGGTCGATGTGTCACCACATGTGCGCACACATGCGATTTAGAAGTAATTTTAGAGCAATTTGGGAGTGATTGGGAGCGATGAGTCTCCCCAAGTTTGATTTCTTGCAACTCGTCGCAAGCGACCAGAATCGCTACGGGTTGCAGTTGCACATTCCCACAGACGTAGCGATTTCGCAGCAATTTTTACAGCGCTTCTTGAATCGCTAAAAAGTTGCATGAAAAAATCTCAGGTCTGCGCTAGGCTTTGGACTCACGTGTGGTGCTGTTTATATTGTCTTGCAGTCGTGACGCTGTACTCGACGCTCGGAGACGACGCCGTGAAGTACGCCGTCAACCAGACAGATGTCTCGCACATCATCACCAGTTTTGAACTGCTGCCCAAGCTGAAGGTGAGACCCCCCTGCCCCCCCTGCCCCGCCCCGCCCAGCCCCGAGCCACCCCGCCCTGCCCTGCCCTGCCCCGCGCCGCTACACGCTAAAGTTCTTTTGTGGGAATGTGCACCATGTTTCGTGTCGGGCATTATCGGTTCATTGTTCCATGTTCCACGATTCCATGTTCCATGTCCGGCATTGCAATCATCTTATCCACCACCAGCTTCATTGACAGGCAGCTTCAGCCGATCGTTGTTGTGATAGGTCCCTCTAAAAGACAGCGCTTAGCAATGAAGTTGCGTTGACAGTGTAGCGTGCACCCGTGAAAAATGTGTGTAAATTAGTCTCGCGGGATGTACCTAGCAACGGTATCCAAGGAACAGGGATGTGTTAGCGCCAAATTGATTTTGCGCCTGTGATTTGGTGTCTCTTTTATCATTTGATTTCTCTGTTGTATCTTTGTTTTAGTCGATCGTCAAGGACATGCCAACAGTGAAGCATCTCATCTACTTTACAAACCAATTGGGAAAAACAGATGAGTCAGGATTTCCTGAGGGTGTCACGGTCAATTCGATGGCTGCTGTCGAACAACTAGGAGTCACAAAGCGTAAGCGTACAGTGAACGCGTCTTTACATCCGTAGCGTGAAAGCAACGTGTATTCTAAGCTTGTGCGTGTGTGTGCGACAATATGTGCGACCTTTATGTAAAATGATTTAATTTTGAGATGTAAAAAATGTGTGTGTGATTCTACTCATTATTTCTTTTATGATGACAATGACATTATTGCAAAATTGGACGTCTCTATATTTATTGTTGTATTACATTGTGTCACTTAAGATGTAGGATGACTGGGTAACCAGAATAATTAAATGTTGCACTAGCTACGTTCACACGAGATTCACGGCGTCGCTGGTTCCGTACTTATCTGGTGCTGAGTTCGGCTGAAATACCGTGCTAACACAACCCGCAGCGTTCACACGAGAATCGAGGCTTAGCTGGCTAGGTATAATGGTAAATAATTTCTCCGCTAGAGGGAAGTGTTTTTCATGGTGGCGGTGCCCATGAAAGTCAGTTGTTTGTGGCAGTTTTTCAGTAAAATTACACAAAATGATGATCCAGATGAACATTACGAATGCTTTGGTGATGAAGACGATTATCAAAAGGAAATTCGGAGAAATATTTTCAATGACATGAGCCGGAAGTGAAAAACGACACTCCGCCACCTAGTATCAATGTAGCGCACTACAGTTTCAGGGCTTACGAGGCCTCGAATTGCGTTCACACGACAGACAATACGCGACCAGCGTGGTGCCGTACTTAAGCGGGTGTTTCAGCGCGGAATCACTTTCCGCGCCGAACAAGCCTCGTGTTTCAGTACGGTACTTGGGAGGCCGCGTATAAGCCTTGAATATTTTTACCGTGTGAACGCTAAGTTCAGTACTGAAATCCTCGTGTGAACGCAGCTACTATTAATAGATGTTGTTGCACTACAGTATTCATATACTTGGACAAGACTAGACTGATTGAATGATAATCATACAATGTTATTATTCTGCACGTACGCAGTGGAAGTGAAGCCTGTCAAGCCCTGCAAAGATGATATCGCACTCATCATGTACACGAGTGGATCCACGGGAGTCCCTAAAGGTGGTGCTTTACTCAGTCTGTCTGTCTCTCTCTCCTTCTCTTTCTCTCTCTCTTTCTCTCTCTCTCTCTTTCTCTCTCTCTCTCTTTCTCTCTGTCACTCTCCCTCTTACTCTAAATCAAATATTCACTATAACTTATACTGAGTATAACAGGGTCCAAGTAAACCAACTAATTAGTTAACCATCAGTTCGAGCTTTAAAAATGTTCACCGTTATTCGCGATTCTGTCGGATTGCGAAATCCAAGGACTTGTGGAGGTGGTTGGCTGTATTGGGTATTATAAGCTAACAGTATAGGCTTGCTCAGCATTGTTGTTGTATGCGACCATGACACGGTATGTTGCGTTTTGCAGGAGTCATAATGGCGCATGGAAATTTGATGGCAGGAATGTCAGGACAGTGTACTCGCATACTGGACCTGGGGTAAGTGCGCATGGTCGCTATTGTTCGAATTTCCCCAGGCTAGTTTTTGGTTTTTTAGTTTAAGGTTTGTGGTGGTTCAGTCTGTGTACAATGACCCAGCTCATGGCCAGTGTAAAAACAGGCTGTAAACACATCCGATTATAGTTATTAGGTAACGCTTAATAATGTATTTTATGTCCAGAGCTAGACATTAGTTTGTCTAGAACAAAAGTCTTCCATAGACCATGTTGGTTCTAGTCCTGGTATTATGTGTTTGGAGGGGTCTGTTCCTTCGTCCATGCGTGTGTCTGTGTATGGATAAATAGATAGATTGTTATATATATATATATATATATATATAACTAAGTATGTTTGAAATTTAATCATATTTTCACCAACCGTAATGATAGCAATAATTTCTGTGTATGATTTTTCCAAGACTTTGGTGTCAAGAGGGTATATTTCAAATATGGAAGATCTTAAATCTCTTCTCCGCAGTAGACGTGGTATACTATAAATCTATCTTAGTTCTATTTGCAAGGCCAACACTGATGTTTGCGACATGTGTAGAGGGTTCCGCGACTTGCACTAAAAATAGCAATATTACCTACAATCCCGTACCGCCGGCCATATCGGTTCCAAAAAGAGAGAACACGTGTTGCGTGTAATCTGCCGATCTGCACAATCAACCGATTTTACATTGTCTATAGTGTTATTATTGCAATAGATATTAGCAGTAAGTGGATCCCGATTTTGCAGACAGGTTTATCAGCTGGTTTTGGTGTGCTAGAATTCGAGATGATGTGCCGACCCGGTTAATGGGCGCCGGTTTTACTGGGTGTTGCAGGCAGGTATTCAGCGTGGGTTGTGTTAATTGCTAGTTCGACGAGATTGCGCAGGCCCGGTTTTGCAAGCAGGTTTACCATCGTGGGTTTTAGGTGCTCGAGTTCAATGATGCTGCCACACAGTCGGCAGATTCGTAGATTGAGCAGATCGGAAGATTGCACGCAACACATATTATGTTCATAGACTTGAGTTTGTTTACATCATGAGAGTTCAGAAATTTCACTGATTTTACTGCATCTACTCTAGCTATCAAATGCAGCTTTTTATAATAGCTAGTGTATGCACGTTTGTCGACTGTCTGTAGTGTACGTAGTATGGATAAGTACTTTGATTCACTAGACAACGTAGCCAAAGCACGCTATCTCGAGAAAATTGCGTGCATTGCGAACCAAGACCCTAACCAAATAGACAATGCCAAATGGAGTGAGGACCACAATGTGTTCCCATCACACACCTATTTGGATCTCGTGAACTACCTAACATTCCAGCCGAGTCCATTTTATACTCTCAAGGACTTTCAGAACTACAAAAGCCTGGATGTCTACGATCGACTGGTCTGCGGTTGGGTGAGAGGTGTATCTGTCTACATCTATGATGTGAACAATGAGTGCCCCATCTACGTTTTCCAAGCACCTGTTATGCACTCCCAGTCTATGAATATACCGTCTCTCCATCCGTGGGTTATGATGAGAGAAAATGGAACAGTCATGTCAGCGCACTGTAATTGTAAAGCCGGGCTTGGCGAATCTTGTTCACACGTTGCCTCGGTGCTATTCTACGTAGAGTATGCTGCACGTGCAAGGGAAATTATCACATCCACTCAAACAGCTGCCTACTGGATGCTGGCTTCACGTACAGGTGTGGCCTATGCACAGCTGACAGACATTGACTTCACATCTGCCAGGGGGCTGAAGAAGCGATTGGATAAATTTATGGACAAACAAGCTGGCCCAGCTAAGACACCCGCCGAGACACCTGCCAAGAAACCTGCCATCACATCAGATCAGACACCTGCCGAGACACCAGTTCGACCTTCAGCCAAAACCCCTGCGAAGACACCAGCCAAAACCCCTGCGAAGACACCAGCCAAAACCCCTGCGAAGACACCAGCCAAAACCCATGCGAAGACCTTCAGCCAAAACCCCTGCGAGACAGCGTCCAGCCAAAAACCCATGCGAAGACAGCGCAGCCAAATAACGGCCATGCGAAGGACCTTCAGCCAAAACCCATAGCGAAGATACCAGCCCAAAGAAGCCTGCGAAGACACCCAGCCAAAACCACATAGCGAAGACACCCAGCCACACCGTCATGCGAAGACCCTTCAGCCAAAACCGCATGCGAAGACACCAGGCCAAAACGCCATCGCGAAGACTTGCAGCCAAACCGCATGCGAAGATACCCAGCCAAGAGCCTGCGAAGACAACCAGCCAAAACCCCTGCGAAGACACCAAGCCCCAAACCCATGCGAAGACCTTGAGCGCCAAAACCGCCCTGCAAAGCCCAGCTAAAAACGCCTAGGAGACACCAGCCAAAACCCATGCGAAGACCTTCAGCCAAAACCCATGCGAAGATACCAGCCAAGAAGCCTGTGAAGACACCAGCCAAGAAGCCTGTGAAGACACCAGCCAAGAAGCCTGTGAAGTCACCAGCCAAAACCCCTGCGAAGACACCAGCCAAAACCTCTGCGAAGACACCAGCCAAAACCCCTGCGAAGACACCAGCCAAAACACCTGCGAAGACACCAGCCAAAACCCCTGCGAAGACACCAGCCAAAACCCCTGCGAAGACACCAGCCAAAACACCTGCGAAGACACCAGCCAAAACCCCTGCGAAGACACCAGCCATCCAAGGATCCATCGTTTTACTCATGCCAGTACGGTTTATGGCCGCCAACCACCATCGTCTTCGCCTGTCTGACATTTCTTTTGTCACTTCACCTTGTTTTGTGATCACAAGAGGCAGCCTAAAAAAGCTGTGTGACTCTCTCGGATACCGATTGCTGCAATTGACAACACCGCAGGAGATCGGCATGGTGAGGGATTTGCTTAATAGGCGAATAAAATGAGCAGAGTTGCATTGCTCAATGTACTTGTACAGTGCCTGAACTGGTTTCTGGAACCCTAATGGCCGGCGACGTTGCATTGTGGGTAATATGAAAAATAGCGGAACCCTCTATACTCTGCCCTTGGCAGCTTGGAACAGATAGCTATTTGCATATATTATTTGAACAACCTTCATCTTTGCCAACACTGGTAGCAGCATAAAGTAACCATGATTAAATCACCTTCGATTCCCCAGTATCTCAGCAGATTGTTGCTTGAAGGAAAAAGCTCTGCTGGTATCATGATACGATCGACCCTCTCTATCTATAGTTAATCCATGTTTGATAGATGTCAGTTAAGTACACACTGAGTGATATCACATGTTTACGCTAGACATGTACCAGTGTGGTGCTCGTGACCTAAAATTAATGTCAAGATAAAACATGTTATTATAAATTGCAACACATTAGTTTGACATGTAAACTTGTGGAGAGTAATTGATAAGGGCGACCACATTTTGGTGGCTGTGGGGAGAGTGGGGGCTAACTCCTGAAATGGCTTGAAAATAGACGTTCAAGCTGGTTTCATTTCTTTCCATGCATTAACATGTAATAGGAAAAGGTAACCATATACATTGCTTATTTGCACATGCTGAACATTTATTAGAATCCACACGTAGTGCACGTTTATAGTTTTATTTTTGTTTGGACACTCCACAGTATAAGACACTGCATCATGCACTAGTTTGAATAGGAATGGTTAGATTAATTGCATTTTGTAATCGTGTAATTTCTGCTCATGCGTGGCTAGGAATGCTCCAACTCTAATATGTAGATTGCAATATGCCAATACATATATAATATCAAGGTGTAGTTTGCCATATGGTAGCAACGCACGGTGCCTATTCCTTAATTAATATACGATTTTTTCTGTTATGTATGCGAACCTCTGCACAAAATTAACGTGTGTAATACCTTCAGCTGTCATATGCTCTGTGTGAGCACAGGCACGACCCTCTCCCCCGGCGTTGTGTGTGGGGACAGTCTAAAACCAGCGGGAGGCGGGCGGGGGACCCCCCTCTCCCCTCCGGCCGTGTGTGTGAGTACAGACAGACCCCCGTCCTCTCTCCCCGGCGTGGGCACACACTGGGCGTGTGTGTGAGTACAGGCAGACCCCCCCTCTTGCCCCGGCGGTAGTGTGAGTAGTACAGCGCAGACCCCCCCTCTTCCCCCGGACGTGTGTGTGGCAGTACAGGCAGACCCCTCTTCCGGCGCGTCGTGTGAGTGTACAGGCAGACCGCCCCCTCGTCCCCCGGCGTGGTGTGTTGAGTACAGGCAACCCCCCTCATCCCCGGCCGTGTGTGAACAGGCCAGAGCCCCCCCGCCCCCGGACGGAACCCGTGTGTAAGTACAGGCAGACCCCCCCACCCCACCTCTCCGCCGGCCCCGTGTGTAGTACAGGCAGACCCCCCCCATCTTCCCCCGGCTCGGTGTGTGAGTTACAGGCAGACCCCCCTCCACGTCGTCAGCTGTCGCCCCGCAGGGCGGGAAACGACTGCTAGCATCGGCACTTGCCGCTGGGCACGGTGCTGGAGCTGACCGCCGAGATGTCCGGGCATCGCCGCACGGCCACGCCGATCGGATACTCATCACGAACACCTCTCTCCGACGTTCGACGAAGAAAGCGAGCAGCAAGGGAATGAGCGCGGTGACCGCTGCTCTGAAGCGACACTGATTGGCCGCCGTCCCGGCTGAGTTTAACGCGTCGCTGACCGCTGGCAGGCGTACGGGTCGGGGCGCTGCGTCGCACGCGCCGCGGTCACGCGACGTACGCGTCGGCTGGCGTGGCGTCGCACGCGGCAGCAGCGTAGCACGCGTCGGGCGCTGCGTCGCACGCGGCTACGCTGGCTAGCGCGTACACGCGTCGGGGCGCCTGCGTCGCACGCGGCACGCGGAGCAGCGGTGACGCGTCGGGGCGCTGCCGTCGCAGCGGCACGCGGTGAAGCGCGTACGCGTCGGGTGCGCTGCGTCGCACGCGCCGCGGCGCGCGTACGCGTTCGGGGCTGGCGTCGCACGGTGTCAGCGCGGTACACGTCGTAGCGCGCTGCATCGACAACGCGGAAGGGTACTGCGTCGCACGCGGCACGCGGCAGCGCGTACATGTTGGGGCGCTGCGTCGCACGCGGCACGCGGCAGCGCGTACGCGTCGGGGTTTTAACCTTGATAGCCATTCTCTGAAAGAAATTTTTGGTGCCTCTTCGACCTACCATGGCTCCGCTGAAATTTTTGGTTTAACCAAAAGCAATGCTAGTTAATTACTGCACTAAAACAATTCATCCTCGCTTGTATTGTAGGTGATTTTGGACCGCATGTACAAGATTGTGCATGAGAACGTAGCAGCGGGTGGAGACCTGATGGAGGCCGTATTTGAGCTGGCTTACACCTACAAGGCGCGGAGGCTTGAGCGTGGCTACAACACACCTGTGTTCAACAAGACCATATTCAAGAAGGTCAGCCATCGGTGATGTATGCTGATGTAAAACAACGTAGCCTTTCACGCACACATGAGCCCTGTTACACTACAAACGTACGGTCTGTACATTGAGCGTGAAACACCAATATGTACCAACTGTTCCAGCAACGATGCCATTTCAGAAAAAGCTATTTCTTAGTTCAAAGTGCTAGTAGATGGGAGAAATAAGAAGCATGGGTTGGCACAAAGTAATGCTGTAATTGTGTGGTTATATTCATGATAACATGTGCGTAATTAAAATTTAACTCCACATAAGTAAGACTGTTTTAAACAACAAATTTAAATCTGTTCACATTTCTGTTTGCGCTTTGCACGTAATACCGCCTCTAAATACTCATCAAAGCGTTTCCGTAAGATTACTGACTGGGGGAGTATACGCAATGGTAAATGCTTTGTTCGTTCGTAGGTTCGTGAAATTCTTGGAGGTCGGATTCGCATGATGCTGGTAGGGGGCGCTCCGCTCTCGGCGGAGACTCAGCGCTTCATGAACATATGCTTCTGCTGTCCCGTCGCTCAGGGATATGGTCTTACAGAAACGTGTGGGGCCGGCACCATCTGTGAAGGTTTGTGAGCGCGCGCGAGCGCCGGACATTCTTTTTGTGAAAACGCTGACGCACAACGAATGTAAAATAATGTATTCTTCCATATTGTGTGGACGGAATGTGGCATTGCTATGCAAGTTGAAAATGTTAACAAAAGTTGTTTTCTGCATTATGTGCGCTGGAACGTTGCACTAGTTGATATCTCTGAGGTTCTCTGTGGCCGCTCTAAATAAACAGGTGCCTTGAAATGAGATGTAGATAGCCGGTATGCATTGCACTTGGTGTGTGTGCACGTTATATGCACGTGCATTACCAGCACTTGGCAGTGTAGGTCGATGTATGATTGCATGGATTGTGAATTCATAGACGTGTACCGGGTACTGGGAGTGGGACGATGAAAGAAAAAACCCTTCCCAGATACCCCCTTATCATTCATTAAATGCTGCATACAGATATACAGTTAGGGGGACAGGAAAACGTCGCAGAATTAAATATGATAAAAAAACGCATACAACTAGTAAACAAGCGCATTAAAGTGCAACAAGGCCATCCTTAAAAAATTCTATGTTTGCTGTCCACCGACCCATCATTTTTTTAGTGGGTAGGTAGGTAGGTCATTTTTTGTGTGTGAGGCATAATAGTTATTTTAAGTCTGTCCTCATGTTTGCCACACATGCTTTGTGTTTCAGTCTTAACTATGAAAAAAGAAAAAAAAAAAAAAAAAATGGAACCCAAAATGTAAAAAAAAACTTTTGGGTCGCGGCTATTTTCGTGGGTCGGTCGGAGGACAGCAAACATATAATTTTTTAAGGATGGCCCAAACAGCAAAAGCACGGTAACACGACATGAAAAACGAGAATGATCATTACTATGAGGAACGTCATTACCAATTGCACAGACACCTGAAAGTGAAATGAGAGAAATGCATATAGCTTTGAAATTTACTACCCTGTTTTTTGGTTTTAAACCTCATCTGCCTTATTCCTGCCTTCTCATTGAAAACAGTCCAATCACTCGGTTTTTTTGTTGTCATTGAAATTTTTGAATTTTTTTTCAATTTTTGTTATATAAGTCATTTCAGATTTTATTCTGTCATTAATAAATTCATTAATTCCTATAAAGTAAGTGATGCCTTACTATTTTCATGAATCACAGGTTGGCAGGTCTGGGTTTATGAGGACGTGAGTGAATAGAGAAAGCTCAGAGCAGCTAACGCACGCGTGTGTTCTCTCTGTTTCAGCGAGCGACTTGAGCACAGGTAGAGTCGGGGCACCACTGAGCTGCAACTACGTGAAGCTGTCCAACTGGGAAGAAGGTGCGCCTCGATTGTCTCTATACAATTTCCGGCATCGCTAACGTCTGCCGAGCCGCGTTGCTGATCGAAGATTCCGCGTCCGTTTGCGATCGCCCGTTATCGTCTGGTCCTGGAAAGTCCTTGAACTCGAGAAGACCTCCGTCTTATCTGAAACGCAAAAAAGTCAAGTGCTTTATGCGAGAGTTTGTTCACGAATCGACATGAGAAGCAAACAATCGATTTGTATTAATCTAAAATGCAATGGTTGTACGAAAAATCTGCCGTTAAATATCCCCAGAAAAACTTCGGGACATCCGGAAACCCCCCCCCCCAAAATGCATCGCCACAGATGCTCCGATAAAGCCCCCCTTCCACCCCTACGCATACACACGCACACACACCACACTATCAACACACATCACACACCACGCGACACACACATGCACACAGGCACCCAAACCACATGCACACACAGCACACAACAGTCACACACACACGACGCACACAATGCACACACACTGCCACCTTGCACGCTACGCACGCAACGCACACACCACGGCACACACGCACACGCCCCCGCTCCGGCCCGCTTCGAGTGTCTGCGCAGTCCCGTCCTGCAGGCGGCTCCGAACACGACAAGCTCCGAACCCTGCGCCGGAAGATCCTGCCGCGCCTGGCAATGTGATCGCTCGATACTTACACAGAACGAGGCGGCGGCCGATTCTTCAAGGTTTGTCGACGGCACCCTGCGTTCTGCACGGAGACATCTGGGAGATCTGCTCCGAGCGTGGAGCATGCGCAATGCATCGGTGAGGCGAGAGACGAGAGAGAGGAGGGGGCTGGGAGGAGGGAGAGAGAGAGTAAGAGGGGGAGGACTGGGAAGAAGGGAGAGAGAGAGAGAGGAGGGAGGGGGAGACATCGGTGGAGATTCTGCCTCCGACGGTAGCATGCGCATCATCGGTGAGGCGAGGAAGAGAGGGGGAGGGGACTGGAGGAGGGAGAGAGAGAGAGGGGTGGAGAACTGGGCAGGAGGGAGAGAGAGGAGGGATGGGAGAGAGATGTGGAGGAGGGAGGGGGGAGACAATCGGTGAATCTGCTCCGACGGGAGCATGGCGCATCATCGGTGAGGGCCGAGAGATGAGAGAGGGGGGGGGAGACTGAAGAGGGATAGAGAGAGAGGAGGAGAGAGATAGAGAAAGAAGAGAGAGCGAGAGAGGGGGTGGGTAGATTTTTTTTTACTGGAGTAGGGAGAGAGAGTAGAGAGGGGGAACTGGGAGGACGGAGAAGAGTAGAGAGGGGGGGGTACTTGGGAGGAGGGAGAGATAGAGAGGGGGAGACTGGAGGAAACGGAGAGTGAGAGAGAGAGAGAGAGGGGGTACTCGAGAGGGAGAGAGAGATAGACGAGGGGGGAGCACTGGGAGGGACGGAAGAGAGAGAAGAGAGAGGAGGGACTGAAGGCTAGGAGGGAGAGAGAGATTAAGAGGGAGACTGGGAGGAACGGAAAGAAGAGAGAGAAGAGAGGGGGGTAACCTGGGAGGAGGAGAGAGGATTGAGACGAGGGGGGAGAACTGGAGACAGAGAGAGAGAGTAGAGAGAGGTGGGGGGACTGGGAGGAGGGAGAGAGAGAGAGAGAGGAGGGATGTGGGGGGAGAGAATAAAACGAGAGAGGGAGATGAGAAGAGAGATGAGTGAGAGCAGAGACGAGAAGAGAGAGAAGAGAAGAAGAGAGAGAGAGAAGAGAGAGAGGGCGAAGGAGTAGAGATAAAGAGAGTAAGAGAGAGAGAGGCAGCGTTGAGAGAAGGAGAAGAGAGAGGGAGAGTAAGGGAGGATGGGAATGAGGGAGACAGTGTGTGTGTGTTGTGTGAGAGATGAAGAGAGAGAGAGAGAGAGAGAGAGGTAGGAAAGAGACTAGAGAAAAAGAGAGAAGAGAATGAGGAGAGAGAGAGAGAGAGAGGAGAGAGAGAGAGAAGGGAGGGCGTGGAGGGGGGGAGGGGAGGGAAGATGAGAGAGACAGAGAAGAGAGAGAGAGGACCGATGAGAGAGAGAGAGAGAGAGAGAGAGAGAGAGAGGGAGATCGAGAGAGAGAGAGAGAGAGAGAGAGAGAGAGAGAGAGAGAGAGAGAGAGGGAGATGCAGGAGAGACACGTCGATCGCTTGGCGGCCGCTTGGCGATATTATGTATATTATCATTATGACGGTGAGAGATAACGACATTCCTGTCTCGTTCAGATTGGCCGTGAGCTAATGCTGTTGTGGTGTAGTGTTCAGGGTTCGAATTAGAACAGAGTGTTGTTGCCCCTCTTATGTACATGCCGTGGCACTCCAAGAAAAATTAGTTGCTATCCACAGTAATAAACCATCATGGCTGCCTTGCCTGGTTTGTTTCTCGAAGCAGTCGTCGTGGCTCAATGCGAATGTATATTTCAGATCGTAAGAAGGACCTGGTCAAGCTTCAGGCAGGAGAGTACGTATCACTGGGCAAAGTTGAGACAGCAATGAGTCGCTGCCCTCTGGTGGAGAATATCTGCGTGTATGCGGACAGCAGGCAGCATTACGCTGTACGTAGCATTTCGTGACTTGCCAGTACCACGATATCACACGTGATAGTGTGACGCGTATTATTATATAGCGTTGTTTACTTCTCATCAGCAGATATGTACGCTCTGATTATTTTGCAAGTGACAGACATTCACACGTACACAAGCATGACATGTGGTTAACGTGTTAATTGTTGAAATAATGTTGTCGAATTTCCTTTTATTAAATAAAGTAATTTAATTTTGAGATAAATCCAAAATATTTACTAAAGCAAGCAGAAACTGTCACTAAAGTAAATATTTTGAATTAACCTCTTAATTAAATTATTTATATTAAATTTAATGATTGCCCCATCTGTCTAAGCAAGATATTCATGCCCTTCGATATTGTTGCTAAATCGCTCAGGCTAGACCAGCACATACGTGTTTTTTACATGTGCACGGCAAATCGTCAACTTTGCGGCGCGTTGCCTTTTGGCATTTTTTAACACTTATGTAACAGCAGTGATTGGCTAGAGCTCCCTGTCATCAGTCATGCCAGACAGACAGGTCAATTGGTTATGCCAGTGCTGACATTAATTTGACTTGACCTCACTAATACAGGGTGCGAAATTAACGGGAGTCCGGAGTCAAATACTACCTCATTTACTGTCGGACTCCCTGATTTGACATATGCAGAAGTTCGTGTGACTCCCTGAAAATTCTGCCATACTATTACTATAGTTCGTTCCAGAGCACAGCCTCGCGGAATTGCCGTATTTTTTCAGCAAATGTCCTAAGACAATTTGGCAGACGTGCAATCGCATGAATCTTCAAAAAAAGCACACGCGTTATTGTTAATATCTTTCATTTTTAACTTCACACTGCGGACTCCCTCATTTTGCTGCGGACTCCTTCTTTTTTGAGGGCAGGGAGTCCAGTCCGTTGGACTCCCTTGTTCGATAGTTAATTGCTACCCCTGCTAATGAACATACTTACCTGTACAGGTGAGTCTTGTCGTGCCAGCGAGGAAGGAGCTTATCAAGCTGGGAGAGTCTCTAGGAAAGAATGGCATCGATTATCAGCTCCTCTGCAAGGACAAGGACATAGAGAAGGAAGTAATGAAGATGTTGGCCGCGTACGGCAAGAAAGGTCGGTGCCAGCAGCGGCGGTTGAGGAAGCGCGTGATTGGTCGATGAAATTGGAATTAAAATCATTTAATTTAGTCATTCGACCAATTTTATTTCATTTAATTATATTTATTTTATTTTATTTATTTTATTTTATTTGCAGATTCGTATATAAAGGTTATTTTTGTTTTTAATGGAACGAGTTTAGTTTTTTTTATTCAAACCCCATGTTATACTGCACTTTGAAGGTCATTGATTTGCAATTTTTTGTGTTTACACAGAAGCAATTAACAACAAAGTTGAAGCTATACCTGCAGTTGTCTAACATTATTATAAAAATATATAGCCATTACAAATAGAATTATGTGCAATTGTGATTTTTCAATACACATTGAGAGCACAGGCACCAAGGCCATGCCCGTTCTCTCTCTCTCTCTCTCTCTCTCTCTCTCTCTCTCACTCTCTCGCTCTCTCTCTCTCTCTCTTTCTTTCTCTCTCTGTCTTTCTCTCTCTCTCTTTCTCTCTCCCGTTCTCTCTCTCGCTCTCTCTCTCTGTGTCTCTCTCTCTCCCTCTTTCACTCTCTCTTTCTCACTCACTCACTCACTCTCTCTATCTCTCTCTCTCTCTTTCTCTCTCTCTCTCTCTCTCTCTCTTTCTCTCTCCCTCTTTCACTCTCTTTCTCTCTCTCTTTCTCTCTTTCTCATTCACTCACTCTCTCTCTCTGTCTCTCTCTTTCTCTCTATCTCTCTCTCTCTCTCTCTTTCTCTCTCTCTCTATCTCTCTCTCTCTCTCTCTTTCTCTCTCTCTCTCTCTCTCTCTTCTCTCTTCTCTTTTCTTTTTCTCTCTTTCACTCTCTCTTCCTCCTCTTCTCCTTTCTCACTCACGTCACTCTCTCTCTCTCGCTCGCATCGGCTCTCTCCTGCTCTCTTTCTCTCGCTATCTTTCCCTCTCTGTCTCTTTCTTTCTCCTCGCTCTCTTCCCTCTCTTCTCCTCTCTCGTCTCTCGCTCTTCTTCCTCTCTGTCTCTCTCTCTCTCTCTCTCTCTCTCTCTCCTCTCTCTCTTCTCTCTCTCGCCTCTCTTTCCCTCTCTGTCCTCTCTCTTCTCTCTCTCTCCTCTCTCTCTCTCTCGCTCTTCGCTCTCTTCCCCTCTTGGTCTCTCTCTCTCTCTTTCTCCCTCACTCACCCACTCTCTCTCTCTCTCTCTCTCTCTTTCTCTCTCTCTCTCTCTCTCTCTCTCTCTCTCTTTCTCTCTCTCTCTCTCCCTCCCTCTCCCTTCCTCTCTCTCACGTATTACTATTACGTGTAAACACCACTCTCTCCTGCATCGTGCGTAGGTAAGCTGGAGAGATTCGAGATCCCGCAGCGCGTGAACCTCTGCGCCGAGGCTTGGACGCCGGAGATGGGCCTCCTCACGGACGCGTTCAAGCTGAAGCGTCGCAACATCACCGACCACTACAAGCAGGAGCTACTGCAGATGTACTCGTAAGGTCAAGGGCGCGTCGCCGCGGCAACAACGGCGCGCGTGCCGCGCGTGTCCTCTGAGCCGTGGAATTCGAACCGTGTGCGCTTGGCTTGGGGCCGAGAGATCGGGCGCCGTCGGCCGCACGGCGAGTAGGCCAGGGGTTCGGTTCGGCGGTTTTGTCGGTCGAATGCGGATTGCGACGCGAAAACTTACGTTGCTCACACGGCGAATCCGCGCTTATAGTGACGCGTCGTAGAACGACATTCCCTGCTTCCTTTCTGCGTGTTTTGTCCTTGTAGCTCCTCAAGGTGTGTCAGAGTAAGTAGACTAAAGAAGTGGTGTAGCGAATGAATGGATGCACGTTAATAGAAACGGGTGGTCAAGTATCAAGTCCTCTTGCCGGTTGTCTCATTAATCAAGTGCAAAGCACTGTGCATAGGTTTTCGATGCATAGAGAAGATCTAGTGAAAGGGTGGCCAGGTATCAAGTCCCCTTGGCGGTTGTCTCTTTAGTCAAGTGCAAAGCGCTGTGCACAAGTTTGTAGTGCATACAGAATATCTAGTGAAATGAAGGGTTCGGGACAGGTTTATGTTGAGGTATTCATTCTTTCTTCACCTTATGAGTCAATGGTACGAACATATATATTTTCGTCGCGTGGTCCATTCTGTTTATGGGTGCGTAAGCATATTGTTGATTATAATTGCTCATTTTTGTCGTCAGTCCCGTCTGAAATGTGGCCAAAACGTCGCCAACCGCAATGTCATTTTGTTAGGGTGTGTCACTAATTAAGAGAAAATCCCATTGCTCTTGTCTGCGTGCCGTGTTCAGGTATCTTTTAATTGTTACGTAATACTTGCAGAAGTAACTTTAATTAACTGCTGCACAGACGAACGTTATCGTATTCAATTGTCAGACGTTGTAGTCATTATAATCGCTTCATGAAGGTACGTTACTGTAATACACAAGGCTTCAGCCGCTACGTTGGACCTACAATATGAATTCTCTTGAAAACCAGATCGTAGACACTAACGTGTAAAAGAAATAAAACTACGCTTGCTCTTGTCTCGCCCATGGTTATGTTTGCAACAACAGAGCAACGGCCTTTCTCATACATCCCACGTGATGTATCAAGAGTGTTACATGTGGGATTGAGCTGGTCTCATTTAAAAAAAATCAATTCTTATTAATTATCTTCAAAATTAAAATCAATTCTTATTAATTATCAATTCTTATTTATTTCAATTAATAATTTAAATTCTATTCGATTCAAAAGCAGTCGGTACACTATAGAATAAGATCAGTGGATATCCTAGGCGGCTTGTCAGTGGCAGGAAGTTCAACACTATTTAGTAGACTCTCATTCTCTTTTCCATTCTTCGTTCCTTTTACGAAGTCATCCCCAGGACAAAGCACACCTGTGAAAAAGTTGACCGCGTATAATTCAATTAGCATAATATTATAATCCCAAGCCGCGTGTTCCTGAGTGCAGGTGCAACGCATGCCGTACTTGTCACAGTGTGTAAGGTGGCGTAGTTGTCACATGGTGTAAGGTGGTGTACTTGTCACATGGTGTAAGGTGGCGTAGTTGTCACATGGTGTAAGGTGGTGTACTTGTCACATGGTGTAAGGTGGCGTAGTTGTCACATGGTGTAAGGTGGTGTACTTGTCACATGGTGTAAGGTGGCGTAGTTGTCACATGGTGTAAGGTGGTGTACTTGTCACATGGTGTAAGGTGGCGTAGTTGTAAGTGTTCCGCTGCAGACGCTACCCTCGTGTCTCATTCGTGAAGTACACACGAGGCGGACACTCGCATCTCCCAGCCATGCGGCCTATTCTAACGAATCCTGCCGCTGCGCATGCCCTGATTCTGTGCTCGTTTACACAGGCGCACTATGTTTCTGCACGCGCGTGATGCCTACGCGAGTCTATAGCGCAAATGCCTTTCTGTCTCCATGTAATAGCTTTGGCTTTTTTACGCGATTCAATTGTTGTGATAAATCGGACCACGGGATGCAGATTCCCGGATATGAATAATTTGTATGAATTGGAGACCTAAAAGGTTGTATTTGTCACATTTCCAAGTTTTTCTCGCGACGAGGAAAGTTCTGATAAGTGCACGACAACTAACGGAAACGGAAACGTGTCTATTGTGACGTGACCTATGCAAAACGAGTCATTGCTGAGTTATGCATGTGTCTAGTTACCATATTCTTTCATCGATGGCTATAATCATTATTTACTCACACATGAAGATGTATAATTACTATAATTAATATATGTCGTAATATAATACGTTACGTATGTGTGTGTTAGTTCGTTTCACGCACGAGTGTATTCTTCACGTAAAGACCAAAAAACTGCAAAGGCATTGTCCCCTCATCGCGGACTCATGCAAACGTAGTTGGTGTATTTAGTTTCATTCAGGGACTATACGAAATCCAAATATGTCTAATTGCCATATTCTTTTATCGATGGCTGATTACTATTTAATTGCGTATAAGGATGTGACACATGTATAGTTAGCATGCATATACATACGTGCGTACATTACGGTGCTTCCACAAACATACATAAACACATGGAAGTGCTTCCCCGAATACGTATATTTAAGGTGCAATATCTCTGACTCAGTAACATCGCCATCATACCCGGAACCAGCTGACATGCCCTTGACAGTATTATCGTGGAAATACGTTATGTTATCATAGACTGATCGTCTAGAAACATTATTTCAATGCAGTCGGCCTGTAATGCACTTGTAACCATTCTTGTTTTGCGGTCCCTTCATCTACATATTAATATTTGTATGCATATTGTGTGAGTAATTAATTTTAATTAATTGATAATTAAATCTCGCAGTCATTGCTAGTTTTCCGATCTATGTTACGAGTGAAACATTTTGGCCCTCTAAACTGAACAGGTCAGCTTGATCTAGTTCTACGTTAAACTTGTGTTCGGCAACAGAAAGTCACCTCTCCCCTAAATGAATTGCAGAAGCCCCAGTACACGTATTTAAATACTCTTGTTTATGTTGGCAATATTAAATGTTTGTTAAGATTTGTTACGCCCAACAGGGAGTACATTATCCCGTCACGCGGTTTTTAGTGTTAGCTTTGAAGTTTTCTGACGTGGTGGTTTTTTTGAATTTCGCTGTTATCGTTTCTGAAGGGTTGTTGTCATTTGCTTGTCTTTCACTGACAAGAGAACAACCACGAGTTTCTTGTTACCTTGGCAATAGTAATTTGCGTTATTATCGGCTGTCGTTTTGCCGCAGCAGCAAAAAGTCAGTGATTTTGGAGGAGTATTTTTTAGGTTAGAGTGGCTTTAGTTGACTAGTTTCACGACGCAGCACGTGTGAAGTAGACATGTCTCCCAACTGTTAAACTAGAGGTGCTAACGTTCCGTCGTCTGGCGAGGGGGAAGTCATGGTAAGTAACCACGTGATCGACATCACCACGTGATCGGTATAACCAAAGATCATAGGCATCTATACGTGTTACCGGGATCATCTGTACTCTATATAGTATATTTATATAGTCTATATATCTATAGTCTATATAGTGTATCTCTATATATATAGTATATATTCTCTCTTTCCCCGTCTCTCTCTCTCTCTTTCTCTCTCTCTCTTTCATATTTTCGCTCGTTCTTCTTCTCTCCTTCTCTCTTCCCGTCTCTCTCTCTCTCTCTCTCTCTCTCTCTCTCTCTCTCTTTCTCTCTCTCTCTCTCTCTCTTTCTCTCTTTCTCTCCCTGTGTGTGTTCGTGTGTACGTGCGTGCATATACTAAGATACATCCGTTGACATTATTATCAACGTGTGCAAACGTCAGCAATAGATGTTTAGATATAACAGTTACTGAGTAGATACTACTGCGCAATACTAGAGTTCACGAGATCAAAGGATCAAATGATCCAGCAAAGACGATACAATAAAAAATAGAGCAAGAATTATATAGCGCGCGAGCGA